CCAGGTAGTCTCCGTGCTGAGTCACAGCGTCATGATGGACATGCAGGAAGAGTTCCAGAGACTCAAAGAGATGACCAGTCAGGGCCCCGGCGTCCTTGCTCGACATTCACAGAATTACATTCACGGGGTCCGGCTTGTGGCTCCCCAGAGAACACTTCATTTTGTCAAAATTTTACATCTAAATCTTAATTCACCGGGAAGCTTTCATAACAAAGTATTTATGTGTTTCTACACTTCACCTTGCCCGTGAGTTGCATACATGTGGCGTGTAAAATGGACACGCTGCGCAGGGCAGGGCAGGAAGTTTTCAGGTGACCCCGGGTGGGTCGCGAGGGCTGTCTGGGGTTCAGAGGAGCCGGGTTAGCCCTGGGGAACCTGTGACAGCCTGAGTAACCAGGTGACAGGGAGCCGAGCATGGGACGGCCCGGCAGCCAGATCCTCAGGAGGAACGTGGGAGCTTGCGCGCAATGCTCAGCTGCAGCGGGAAGCCACAGTCCTCGAGAACTGTGAGCAAACGGGCCCAGCTGCTGAGCTGCTCTCCAAACTCTTTTCACTTTTCATTTTTTTGCTAATCCACACCTGAGGATATTTTTCTATTGATACATATATATTTTTTAGATAGAGTGGAAGGGGGGGGAGAGAGAGGGAGAGATGTGAGAGAGACACATCCATAGTCTCCTGCACACATCCCGACCCGGGGCTAGGGACTGAACCTGTAACCCAGGCACGTGCCTTCGATGGGGAATCAAACCCTCGACCCTTCAGTGCGCAGGCCGACACTCTAGCCACTGAGCATGCCAGCCAGGGCCTCACCGAACTCTTAACAACTGCCAGCGCGGGTGGAACCCGGATCTTTAGGCCCTTCTGTCGGTGCCCTCCCTGCTATCCCACACGCCGCCTCAGACGTTGGCCACAGGTGACAAGGGACCAGGAGACGAGTCTTGCTTCCCAGGCAGCCCCGTCACAGCAGGGTGTGGGAGCCATGAAGAAGTCAGATTAGAAGGAAGGAGATGGTGCTCTGACCGTGCATGGCTCATTCGATCCTTCCACTGACCTGGGACATTTCTGGGCTCTGCACAAAGCCAGCCCCAAATTCACCGTCTGGGCACAAGGACTTACGACAACAGGGGACACAGTTCCTCTTACCCGCTGGCAGGGGGAGCGTAAGCAGGTGGGGTGCTGAGCCCCCGATGGCGTCAGCAGCATTCCTGGGCTATCTCCCCAAGCTCTGGGTCACTCTGACAAAGGGCAAGGCCATGCACCTGCTGTGGCCACTGGGGGCAGCTGCCAGGAGGATCTGCCCGGCAGACAGGCTGCGGGGCCGAGAGACTCGGGAACTTCGTCACTGGCACACTGACATGAATTGGAGCTGAGATTGAATGTCCCAGTGCTTGCTGGCTCAGGTGGTCTTTTCCAACCACAGGCGACTGGGCTGAATGACAGCGGTTCTACAGTGACAGATCCAAGCCGGGCTGCCAAGTGACCCTGAGCAACCTGGAAGGGGGTGAGCCTCGTGCCAGCCGGGAGGGGCTGGTTCCCGGCGGTACAGTCCCCGAGGAAGAACACTCTGGAGTCTGGTTTCACTCCCCTTTGCTGTCTCCTTTACTGATTTGTCAACATGGTGTGTAAGAGGCGAATGACAGGACCCCAGGGTTTCAAAAATGTGAATTTTCTGGGGGGTTTCTAGGCATCTGAATGTACCAAACAGGAGAAAAGATCCCAGATGAAACCACAGGTTTTCATGAAGTGAACTTCAGCTTTGCATATGTAACACCCAGTTATCAAACGAGCAAAAGCTGTGCGTGGATTTACTTGCTGCCTGGCAAGCACAGGGTCACCCAATCGCCAGCACCATGGGAAATGAGCCCATGTACAAAACCCCTCTGGGGCTGGCTTGGGCGTTTGCTATCTCACAAGTAAAGGAGATGGAAGGAGCAGCACATACTTCCTCAAAGAGAACGTGTGAGCTTGGGAGGAACATTGCGGTTACTTAGAATGGGCTCGGCCAGTGTCATTGAAGTTTCACAAAACTCTTGGTCCTGAAGTTAATTGGAGACAGCTCAGTCCAAGCTGCCAGGTCTGAGGTTCTCAACAGAAGCCACATTATTTCGAGACTCTGAGCCCAAGGCTGTGGTGCAGACAGAACTGCATGGCATGAGCCAGGACGTCTCGGAACAGCTCCTGCGGGAAGAGCCGAGAGGAGGCAGCAGCCGAACGGAAGTGACATCCCGGGTCTGCCCTGGCTGCCTGCGTAACCTGGCCCACCGCTCGGCTCTGAAATAAAGGGTTTACACACTTTCTTCTCACCTGGGGACAGTCAGCAATGTCTTGGACATAACCCGGGGCCAGGGGTATTGCCGGGATCTAGTGAGTAAAGATCAGGATGCTGCTGGGGTGAGAAACCTGGTTTCAACTAGATTGGACTCGATTTTCAACAAGGTGACACCCAGCCTCTGTTGGAAAAGATGAATGTGAAAGGGCATTTTGTGGGAAAACATTTTTTGCTTTATTTTATTTTTTGAATCTGTGCATGGGCCCAACAGCCACAGTCACACATGGAAGCCCTCGCCGACCTAGTTCCCACAGTCCAGGACTTTCACAAGCTTCGTGCTTCTCTCAGCACCAAAGATGTTATTCGATGAATCATGTCTTCCGCAAACGTCACCCAAACAACCATTAAGGAAGCTCCTAGGAGGCGGATTTCACTGCCGGGATGCATGCGGCCCTCTGGAAGGCGAATCGGTGCCGGCTGCAGTTGTAAATACTCATTAAGAAACTGTTGCCAAAGATGCAGGAAGCTTTATTCTGATGTTGTTCTAACTTCTAAAAAGTGCCTACTGCCCACATATTTTTGGTAATATGTAAATATTATTATGTATCCCGAAGATAAATACTTTGGGAGAGTTTAAAAATAAGAGATCTGGAATGAAAGAAAAATATTGAAATATTACAGGGTGTCCCCCAAAAATGTATACACACTTTGAATAGTTATTAATTACGGTGGGTTAAATTTGAAAAGAAATGAAACGTCAATTGCGCTATCAGCTGTTAAGTATGTATACATTTTTGGGGGGACACCCTGTATCTATAGAACTGTAGGATATTTGGCCTCCGTTTTCTTCTGGGGTTTTTATGGTTTCATGACTTGCATTTAAGTTCTTTATCCATTTTGAGTTTATCGGAATTTACGTCTCCTTTATATCAATCACCCTGGGGTAACATTGGTTTTGTTATTCGCCATATCGCTTAAAGTAGCAGAACCTATTGAGGGCATTAAGTGAGGACTGACTGTGCAACCAGAACATTTTTTTTTAATCCTTGTCCGAGGATATTTTTTCCATTGCTTCTCCGAGAGAGTGGGAGGGGGAGAGAGAGAGAGAAACATCGATGTAAGAAAGACACATCGATTGGTTGCTTCCCGCACGAGCCCCAACAGGGGGCCTGGGGTGGAGCCTGCAACCCAGGTACATGCCCTTGGCCGGACTCGAACCTGGGACCATTCAGTCCAGGCCGACGCTCTAACCACTGACCCCGACCGGCCAGGGCTACAACCAGAAATTTAACCCAGTTCTCATTTGTTTTGTTTCTCTCTATTGAAGAGTCAGTGGGTATAATTGGCTGGATCACATTCATAACTATAACTTTCGTGCCAGAAATGCTCCCTCAAACTTGTGGGCCTCTATTCTGCACCCACTCGCTTAGATGATGCCAAGCTGGCGAGGGCAGTGGCCAAAGTCCTCCCAGCCGGTCAGCACCTGGCAGAGCGCCTCTGTGAGCCAGGCCGGGGTGCCACAGGGCCTGAGGGGTTCCCACGGTTATCCTGGTCTTGCTTTTATAAGAAAATAAGAAGCAGTGGCTTTGGTAAGAAGGAGGACCCCTGTGGGTCACTAAGACCTCGCTGTTACACCCTCTGAAGAGTCAGCAGGAGAGAACAGGGGAGGAATGGAGTCGAAGTCTGGTGACCTAATGTGCAGAGCTGTCTACAGGCCACCTCGAGTGGTGACTTCCCTCCGCAGTCAGGATCCTTTGCCCACCAGGGAGATGGACTGCCCATTTCCATTGCATCTGGGTGCACCCACCACCATCCTGAAGAGGCATCCTGACCACAGGCAGAAATACCTGGGACAACAGGCCTCAGAACGAGAACACTCCTGACTTGCACTTGACCTACGTGTGTGGTGAGCATTTTCCTTCACAGATGAATCAAGGGAGGACACTTCAGGGTTGAAAGGGGAGGACTGACATTCTTTAAAAAGTGGAATTATAGCCCTGGCTGGTGTGGCTCAGTGGTTGGAACATCAGCTGACGCACCAAAGGTCACAGGTTCGATTCCCGGTCAAGGGCATGTAACTGGGTTGCAGGTTAGACCCCCAGCCCCAATCGGGGCANAAAAGTCCTCAGGTGAAATTTAACAAAATAATAATAAAGTAGAATTATAAAATCCAGACAAAAGCCCACACGCACAGCCGCAGCACAGGTCTGGTGCGCGAGCCCGTGGTGGAATCTGCAGGCCTCCTCGAGTGCAGACACGGGCCCTGGCCCGAGTCCATGACTCACATCCCACCGGCCAGGCAAACGGCAGCCCCTTGGAGACAGGTGGGCTGAGCGGGTGAGATGCGGATGTCACTTAGCTTACTAGGGAAAAATTAACAGGTCTGCAATATGTGAGCACTCAGATTTCTCACCCTGGGATACAGAGGAAGGATTGTTTGTGGTGCTGGTAGGAGGTAGTGACAAACCCGTGGAGAGTGAAGTCCTAGTCCTCACAACACCTGGCCCGGTTACTTGCCTGGGGCACGTGGCACGTCAGGGGAGCAGCAGGACAGCACCCGCTGGAGAAGTACCCAGCTGGAGGCTGCCAGACCCTGGGGCGGTCTGGACCAAAGGCTGCTCTTCTAAAGTAAACTCACGCTCACACTTTGACTTTTGGTCGAGAGCTGTGCTGAGCTGGCTGCAGCCTGTCGGGGACATTGGTGGCAGCGCTAGGAGGCACATCTGGACTCCTCCTGCCTTCAGTGACCATGCCAACCGTGGATGACATTCTCGAGCACATAGGGGAGTTTAACTCTTTCCAGAAACAAACGTTCTTCCTCCTAGCTCTGCTCTCCGCATCGTTCACCCCCATCTACGTGGGCATCGTCTTCCTGGGCTTCACCCCCGAGCACCGCTGCCTGAGGCCCGGCGTGGCCGAGCTGAGCCTGCGATGCGGCTGGAGCCCGGCCCAGGAGCTGAACCTCACGGTGCCCGGCCCGGGGCCCGCGGGCGAGGCCTTCCCCCGCCAGTGCCGCCGCTACGAGGTGGACTGGAACCAGAGCGCCCTGGGCTGCGCGGACCCGCTGGCCGGCCTGGCCCCCGACAGGAGCCACCTGCCGCTGGGCCCCTGTCGGCACGGCTGGGAATACGACACGGCCGGCTCCTCCATCGTCACCGAGGTGAGCGAGGCTGGGGTTAAAGCAACAGAGCAAATTGTGCAGGTTTTTCTAAGGAAGAAAGTGAGGCCCAGACATACTCTTTGGACTCAAGGGATCTTATAAAATCCCAGTTTCTTATGAAAGCATGCAGCCTCTTATTTGCCTAGAGTATGAGTGGATTAGTTAAAACCTGATCCGTTTCAATAATGATTCTCATTTATGCAACTCTCAGCTATAAGGACAAGCAATAGCATATAAGAATTCCAAGAAATAATGCCAGGAAAGGGAAAATTTCCAAGCCTCCTCCTTTTCTGGAAGCCCTACCTCCCCCTTCAATCTTCCATTATGCAGATGGCCACCTGAGAGCTCGTGGAACTCACCTGAACAGTATCTTGCTGTGACTTGATGTACTTGTCTCTCTCTCTTTTCTGGTTAATCTTTACCAGAAGATATCTGTTAATTTTTAGAGAGTGGAAGGTGCTTGTAACCCAGGTATGTGCCCTTTACTGGGAATAGAACCCGTGACCCTTCAGTGTGCAGGCTGATGCTCTAACCACTGAGCAACACCAGCCAGGGCAATGTATTTGTCTCTTAATGGCTATTTGGGGTTGGAACTTACGCTACGGTGCTATAATGTTATTAAAAACTACAGTCAAGCCAGCCGGTGTAGCTCAGTGGTTGAGCGCCGCCCTAGGAACCAAGAGGTCACGGTTTGACTCCTGATCGGTGCACATGCCCAGGTTTCAGGCTCAGTCCCCAGTAGGGAGTGTGCTGATCGATGATGTTTCTCTCTCATCGATGTTTCTGTCTCTGCCTATCCCTCTCCCTTCCCCTCTCTCTAAAAAGCAATAAAAACATATTTTTAAAAACTATAGTCAACATTAGCATCTAATTGCAAAACCTCATTTCAATAAATATAGAAAAAACAAAAAACTAGAGACGTGCTTTTATTAGAGGCAAAGCCAAATGGGGGGGGGG